AGAGTAGCCAGTGCTCTTAACTGCAAAGTCATTGCTCCACATCCTTTAGCCATTACTTTTAAATTCAGCTGCACTCAGAGTCTCATGAAATGGACAATATGTAGACAAACTGTCAGAACGTAACATGAAAGCTTTATATTACATTCCCTATAGAAACCTCATTCCCACCTGAAGTATTTTGAACATAGTTTTTACTGTCCACATTTTTATTGGCATTATGGTCTTCTGAACTTCCACAGGATTCCCCATTAAGTTCTGCTTACAGAATTCTAGGGTTTCTCTAGCCTTCTCCATAGTTCTTCCACAAACCAATTCCAAAGGTTTAAGAATCATTTCATTAGATTTAATCACAGCATTAACCCCCTTTCTCTGGTACTCATTTTCTGTGTTAGACAGACATTTCATTGCTGTGACAAAACCCTGTCAGACCCTAATAGAGGAAAGATTTCTTTTTAACTTACAGTTTCTGGATTCCTTGAATATTCTAGGCCTGTGGTGAGGCAGGAAATTATGGGACTATGTGGCTACTCACCTCATGCCAGACAGGAAGGAACTATCAAATTTCAAAAATCTGTTAAAAAACATTTTGTTCAAATGTTGAAAACATTTGTTCAAAACATCTTTGAACATGAACTACTTGTAGCTAAAACATTTTAAGTATTTGGGGTCAGAAGTACTAGCTTTTTTTACAGTAAACAGTATGCTGGGAATCTGCAGATTACATTTTTCCAAGACTTTAAAATATATAGACTGTAGTTATGTGTTCTAGCTGTCCTTTGACATTGCTTATTCTAAATCCTGGAGATTTCTTTTTATAAAATGAGAGATCAGGAGCTGAGAATGTAGTAGCTCCATTGCACAATCTGATTAGCATTTGAAAGACCTTAGATTTACTCATGAAAAAGGAAAGATAGACCACAGAGAGGTAATATTGTATAATATTGTGACTTGTTTTTGAAATGCAAAGAGAAAATAATACATTTTATCAGCTTCCCAGAATACCTCACACTTTAAGTGCAATAAACCTTACTTGGTTGATATAATACTCTTCAAAGTTTATGTTAAACCATTTACACTATATGAAAATTTTCTAGGAAATCTTTATCACTGATATTTATTCATGACAAGTGACAATTTTTAGACTGTCTTGTACGAATATGCTCTAAAGCCTCCATTTGCTCCATGGGTAAGTTATTAGCTAAAGATAGTGAATATAAACCCTTAGCTTAGCCTGTGGTGCACACACTCAAGAAATGGTAGACTCCTTCAGTTTGCATGCCTTTCAGTTTGAGACTGTTTACTCCTGACTCCTCTTTTTTCCACAGCCCTTTTGATTCAATTAGATGGCATCTTTAAAGTGTGTGACTGGAGGGCAAAACTCACAGGTTTCATTCAATAATTTGGTGATTGTGGCTATTTAGATTAAAATACAATTGTTCATAATTAGGAATGATTGAAATAGTTGCAGACTGAGTTCCTCGGTCTAATCAGACATAATTTCCAGTGATCAGAAGCAGTCTGTTGGACACTTCTTCTCTAGGAAGCAAAAAAATATTGTAGTACTTGTATTCAATCTAATGCACATAGTTCTTAGTATTATATGTCCAAGAACTTTGATTACTCAATGACTTTAGAAAATTATTTTGGTATTCTTCCTTTTCTGCCTCAGCCCCATCACTCATGGCTCACTGATGATTGTGTGAACACAGATAAGGCAGTCTTTCTAAACACTGCATTGATTATCTTGCCTTTCTTCTAATCCTACTGCCCATTATCTCAGCCCTTCCTTCTCTGTCACCTTCATTTGCTTTTCCAGGACCTTTTTGTCTATTTCAGTTTCTTCTCTAGACTACTCTTGGCAATTAGCATCTTGCAAACTGGCTGTCAGTTCCTGTATTATTGAATTTTCACATAGTTTATTGGCAATGCTTTTCTTAGTGCTTTTTTGAGACAAGGTCTCAAAAGCTGACCTAGAACTCATGGTGATGCTCCTGCCTCAGTCTCTTGAGGGTAAGTGTATAGGAGTATGTCATCATATTGAATTTATGCTTTAATAATTCGAGTTTGTTGTATTTTAACCTCTGACCACAGCCAGATTTGTAACTCATGAAAAGTTGGGAATGCAATGTTCAATATTTGCACTTTTAGTTTAGTTGTCATAATATTTTGCTTACAGTTATGGTGATTTGTTTGTAGCCAACTACAACAAAATCAGGCCAGGGACAGTTGGATCTGAAGGACTTCCCGCCTCTGCGAGAGTTGGGATTCCCGCGGGATCTTACAGCCAATAAGCAGCGAGGATGGAGCTGGCCTGCAGCTGGTGCTGGATCCAGCCTGTAGGAGGAGTCAGGCTGCCACCTGAGATCTTGGCCTCTCTGCATCAGGGGACCAAGGGTGGCACAGGGCAAGGCTGCTGTGATTGTGGTAGGTGCTGGGTGTTTGGAAGAGAGTGGGCTGGGCAGTTTTGCCCTGTGAGCCCTGATTGTGGGAAGATGCAACAATGTACCCAGAGAGGAGCGTTCAACGGTCCCCAGGCCCAAAGCAGTGTGTTGTTGATCAGACTGTCTTCGTGCTTCTGATACCCGGGTGGGAAGGACGGCTAGGTAAAGCTTTCCACTAATGTTGGCTAGAGGTTGCCATCGACGTGGAGGGCTGGGCATTTGGGAAGCTGAATTCATGTTCCCGCCAATGGTGTCACAGTCACTGTCATTCACTGGTAGAGAGATTTGCTCAGTCTCCTTACCTCGCCCCACCTTACACAACCACATGGGAAATTCTGTTCCGTATTTTTTTTTTTTTTTTGTATCTGTTTTCTATTTGCCCTTAAAATATTCTAGTGAGCTTCCCTTCCCGCCTTCATCATTTGAATTATTTCGACTTTGTAAAAATTTAAGTGCGGTTTATTGGTGCCTTAATAGTTCTCACATTGCCCTTCTGTTCATGAAAAGTTAGATGCAATCTACAGTATATAGCAGTATTAAAACCTATTTCAGGGCTAAAAAGTGACAGAGGGCTTCCCTAGTGTGAGTGAGGCCCTAGGTTTTATCCTCAGTATCATTAAAATATAAAACAAACAAACACAAAGGCCCAAATAAACAACAAAATGCTATTCCCTCTGATCTTTTTTTATTATAGTTTTATTATTTAAAACATTTGTAGCCAGGTGGTGGTGAATGTGTTTGTTCTCAGCACTTGGGCGGCAGGTCTCTGAGTTCAAGGCTAGCCAGTCTACAGAGTGAGTTCCAGGACAGCTAGGGCTACACAGAGAAATCCTGTCTTGAAGAACCAAATAAAACAAAATTTAAATATAATTTGATCATATTCTTTGCCTCCTTCAAGTCCTTCCGGATCCCCTCCCCCCTCTACTCACCCAACTTTTATTCTACCTCAAAACAGAAACAAAAGCCCAATGTAACAACTCCCAAACCAAGAAAATAAAACACCACCCCAAAAGAAAAAACAAAACAAACAATACCAACAACAATATCCCACACCAAACCCAATGAAAGCACACACACAGAAAAACTGGAGTCCAATATATGTTGATCAACCACTGAACACGAGGCCTGCCCTGAAGAGGTTGACATCACCCAACATTTAAGTACTTATCTGGGGACAAAAGTAAACACAGTGTTTTAGTTACTGTATTCAACAAAGCACTCAAAGGGAGTCAGACTAGTAGGATTAGGGATTTAACATGGCTCCATCCCTTTATTTCTCTCCACTCCTCATCACTTATGACCCGAAACAGGTCAATTTCCATGTGCCTTGTTTTTTGGTGTGCAGGAGTACATGAGTGGTACCTGTCTCACAGAGCTGTTGCTAAGATCCAGTGAGTTAACGACACACCAATGTTTCCAAGCCTTGTGGTTTACTAATACTGAGATGACTTTAGACTCAGATGAGGAGTCAGTCTCATAGCACACCTCACACCTTTGCCTGTCTCCTCTTACACGAGAAGTACTGGTAAAAGCCAGCTGGTCATGTGGGCCTGTAACCTCAGCACTGGGAAAGCTGAGGCAGGAGGATTGATGAGTTCACAGCCAGCCAGGCAAGCTACACAGTGACTCTGAGACCACATAAAAAGGAGACTGTCTCTGGAACAAACAAAAGACAGCAACAAATAAGTAAATGTCAGTAGTATATCAACTAGTGCCATGACAAATCCGTTTCCTTGCTGCCGTTGCTGAATCTATGGGTTTTATTTTGCCTGGAACAGGGCCATCAGTGTCTGCCCTAGCAATACTCTTCTATGATTAAAGGCAGTGACAGCAAAAGTTATGATGTAACTAACACTGGTGGTTTGAACACTGAACATAGGTGTTTTTGGCAAATGCCTTTGATGTGAACTCTATAGCTTAAGTTTCCTGAGTTGCTAGTAACATTTACTTGGCAAAATCAATCTGCCTGATAGGAGTTCAGGAATAGATACTCTGGCCAGTACTTTAATGGTATTTTGATCTTCAAGATACAGACTTTATAGTTACAATGTATATATTTTACAAATTGACATATATTTCCTTTTGTGGAGGGATTTACCTCCTTTATGGTTTTAATCAAAGACACACTGTGTTTTGTAAATATTTGAATAATTAACAACAGATACATGTAGAAATTAAATGCAGTGTTTTGAACATTGCTTGAATTTTGTCACCTTCTCTTCCATAAAGTAAGTTTTCTTGTCTTGATTTCTCTCACACCTAATGACTGAGTACTGAATTGTGGGTTTTGAAGGCTGCACACTAAATTGCCTTCTTTTTTTGATGTGAATTAATAATAGTTATTGGTTTCTGATCAGATTTTAAAAGTGAGGAAAAAGCTTTTCTATCACTTTTATGTGATGACTTTCATTATTCATCACTGTCTTTTTCAAGTGTCATATTGATGCAAATGAAATAAGTAAAAATAAAATCTCATGATTTTATTAATAATAATTTGTTGTTTAAATCTGTCTTAATCATGAACTCTCTTGTTCTCATTCTTCACAGACTGCAAAGTGTAGGGAAACACAGCCCAGGTGGACCAGTCGTTATCATGTCAGTGTGCTCTGTGTGTGTGTGTGTGTGTGTGTGTGTGTGGTATGTATGTGTGGTGTTGAGCTCGTTTGTGCAGGCATAAATGGAGGCCAGAGGATGGTGTTGGGATGTCTTCCTCAATCATTTCTCCATCTTACTGGTAGAGACAGGCTCTTTCACTTAAGCCCAGAACCCTGCTTTCTGGGCTGGCTTGCCAAGCACTCAAGATGTGCCTGTTTCCATTTTCATGGGAGCAGGATTAAAGGCACGCCTGGGTGGTAATGTCAGGGACTCAACTCACTTTACCTGCTGAGCCATCCCCAGACTTCAGAGTTCAATTTATGATGTTGTAATTATTTTACTTTTCATGTCATTTTGGATTCATGTAATTAGGAAGTATTTATTTGGTTGTCCAATGAAATTTCTGGTGGTAGCTGAAGCACCTTTGTTCAGAATTTTGTTTGTATCTCTCACTAGACAAGACCTTTCCCACTTAACACCTTATGTTTTATGCCACATTAATATTAATTATGTACCAATGAGGCCTGAACTCAGTAATGTTATTTTTTATTACTTTCAGGTAACATTTGGTCTAATCTGGTAGATTGGTTTACAAATAAGAGTGTAAAGTAAGTACAAAAGTAATTTTACATGTATCATACAGGGGTCTCACTTTTTTTGTGTATGATTTTAGTCTCCTGTGCATGTCTGCCATGATGAGTGTAAACAACATGATGTTTACCTATCATGTTTGTTCCATTTTTTTAAGTTAAGGGATATCCATGTTTCACATTATTTTTGCATATGTATTTAAATTAATGTAATTGTTTGAAGGCTGAGGTAAAACCAGGTTTATATCAATAGTTGAGTTTATGAAGAAGCTATGACTAAAAATTTAAAATAAGTCCGATTAGGTGGGTGTGATGACACATACCTTTAATCCTGGAAACAGATGCAGGTGAAACACTGTGAGTCTGAGGCCAGCCTGGTCTACATAGAGAGTTCCAGGACAGCCAGGACTAACTAGTGTGACCAAAGCAACAGCAAAAGTCTGATTAACAAGATGATTAAGTGTCTGTAAAGTTGGATTCTGTAGTACATCTGTGTTTTCGAGCATCCAGACATTAAAGCACATGTACATTAAATGTTATGTTTTTGCTTAATATTATTAACATTCACTTCAATCAAAGTATTGGGATCCTTCACCCTCCCAGATTTTTTTGTTTTTTGTTTTTTGTTTTCTAGGTTTGAAAATCTGGTATTTTTATGCTCTGTGATTTAAGCTCTCACTGCAGAACAAAATGGGAGATGCTGAAACAGGCAAGAAGATCTTCGTTCAGAAATGTGCTCAGTGCCACACAGTGGAGAAAGGTGGAAAACACAAGACAGGTCCAAATCTCTGGGGCCTTTTTGGCCGGAAGACAGGACAAGCACCAGGATTTTCTTACACGGATGCGAACAAGAACAAAGGTAAAGGCCAGAAGCTATGGGTGCTCGAAGATTTTGTTGCAGAAAAGACTGTGCATGGTTTGTTGTTGAAATGTTTGCTTGACTTATTTCATTGGAAATAGACTGCTGTGTTTCTGTTTATTGAAATACTGATTTTTGCCTCAAGAACTGGCCTTAGATAACTTGTTAACCTTTCAATAAGGAGAATAAGCAGTCTTTGGTTTTTGCCCATGCAGACTGTATTTTATGTAAATTTTACATGTTGTATTCATTTTGAGAAAGCATAAATTAAGTCTAAAAAGAAAATATTTTAATGACATGATAGCTGTAGTGATTGCATTTGTAGTAGTGATTCTTACCAAGGTTGGAGATTTAAAGTTTGAAAATATATTTGATAATTTATTTGTTGTTTGTTGGTAGAAGGGAATTAGACAGTAAAGTGAGAAAGCATTTTAGAATTGAGATTAAAAACAGCTAGAAAAGACACACACATATATAAATATACTTAGTTCAGCACATCAAATATTCTTACAGCTCCAGCTCCTGGTTCCAATATCCACATTGTGTACATGTGGGGATCATAGGCAGCTTGCAGGGGTAGGTCCTTTCCTTTCACTATATAAGTCCTGAGGGGAAATCTCAGGACTTTGAGTCAGGCCTGTACTATTATAGTATTCAGGATGTATAAAATTGCTGGTGAGTAGGTATTGTATGGGTTTTTGTTACAGAATCTATAAAACCTTGGAATTTCCTAAGTGAAAGGATTGTCTTTGTTGTCATGGTTAGTCCCAGGGACCAGGACCTGACTCTTGCTGATGTGATGTCTCCACTCCTAGGTGATGGTGGGACTCCTAGAGCATTTCTAGATAGGGGCTGGGCCATGCTGGAAGGACCAATCATATGATTAGATAATTGTACCTCCTGCTCAGGGATATCAGGTGTACTTCTGGAGACAGAATGGGGATTGAGGTTCTGAAACAGTTCTGGCATGTTATTGTGAGTCTGTCAATCATGCTTATGTACTGAAATCCCCATTGGAAGCTCCTTACACACCAAAGTCCTGGCAGATTGAGAAGGTCCTGAGTCTTCAAAAACATTGCCTGGAAGCTGTGCACTTTGGGGGCCTCCAGCCCTTGCCTTGCGTGTCTCTTAGACCCTGCCCTGACACATGGCCTTTATAGTAATTCTTGGTGCACTGCTTCCCTGAGTCCTGTGAACAGTCCTAATGACTCATTGGACATCACAAGATTGTGGGGATTTCAGAAGTTTGGGAGATCAGTAACCCTCCAAAAAAAAAAAAAAAAAAAAACAAAAAAAAAAAACACAAAAAAAAAAAAAACCTTATACTTTTTGAAACAAAGGCCTTCTTTTAGTCTAATTATAAACCATATTTGAATTGAAATGAAATTAAAATTACTGCAGAGCTGTGTGCTGCCCAGTCAGTCCGTTGTTTCCTTTTTTGTACATAAAAAGTATTTTCAGTTCATGAGGTACTATTTGTCAGTCTCGAGTAACTGGAGTCCTAGCTAGAAAGTCAGCAAAACACCTCTATCGAAAGGTACACCTGCTCTGAAAGTATAGTAAGAATTAAATAGAAAAATACGACCTCTTAGCATCAACGATTTGGGGAAGCAAAGAGCCACTGGTTGTACTGTGTGCACTGAGATATTAGACACTCTTAGTAGAAGGGGGGGGGGAAGAAAGCAAACAGATTATCTCAGGGTATTTAGTACTGGGTCATTAGATAAAAAGTAGAGGTGGGAAACCTATGTTGATGAAGGAACATTAGAAGCAAAGAAGGGGACCAGGAAGCAGTTGACTGCAAAGAAATGAAACCAAATGATGTCAGACATTCCCTGAGTTAGGGAGCTGAGACGAAGTGGGGGGAGAAGGCCTGCCTGTGTTGTTTGAGAAAGGAAACCGAGAAAGTAAACAGTGTGGGAAGACTAGATCGGGACAGGAGCAGAGCATGGAGAGAGCTGGCTTACTGGGTCAACAGCAGGTATTAAATGAAAGATGAATGTTGAAGCAAACAGAGCAGACAGAGTAGAGAGTGTGAACACCATCTTGGCTGCTTGTTTGCTGGTGTCGGTCATTGGTCTATGATGTCCCTGGGCAGGCCTGTCCTTTTTGGCTTTTCTTTTGGAGGTGAAGTTGTTGATGTGGTCCAGTCGGGGTAGTACTTCACAGGTGGAGTATCAGATGCTGGTCACACTTCTGGGCACACCCTCACCCAGAAGTCAGGTCACTGTGTCCTTTTCATTGGTTTTACAAGGAGAAGAGGACAACTTTTTCTGTCATCCTGAAATTGGATTTCTGAATCACAGATTTCTACAACAGTGTTTGTGTGTGTGTGTGTACGCGCGCATACTCGAGCAGGCACATACATGTCACAATTTACATGTGGAGGTCAGAGGATAACTTAGGGGAATTGGTTTTCTCCTTGTTCTGTGCTCTGGGAATTGAACTCAGGTTGTCAAGTCTTCATGGTTGTTTCACCCAGTGAGCCATCTCTCTACTAAGTAGTCACACGTTCTTGAATTCAGGCAGCTTGTCATGTCAGAGCAAGTATTCTGTGGGCCATCATTTTGCCCACTTTCAAAGGGGAAGACTGGCTTAGATTACATGATATCTGAGATCTTCTGTAGAAGGTATGCTGCAATTTCAGCAGCACGAGGCACTGTGTAGGCACAACATATCTGGGGTAGTTGTTCATTGACTTATAGTGGTCTTTATCAGTATGTGACTATTGGATTCTTACAGAGAAACAGAAATAGACTCTATTTCTGGAATTTTCTTGTACTCCAAGCTCTACATTATTAGCTAAACAGTTTTCCCACTGAGTGAGGTGGTAACCCTTTTGTTCACATATGTGGGTCATACAGATGGTAAGCCCTAAAAAGTAACTACAAAGACTTAATACTTATTTTCAACTTTATAGGTATTGTCTGGACAGAAGAAACTTTGATGGAATATTTGGAGAACCCAAAGAAATTCATCCCTGGTACTAAAATGATCTTTGCTGGTATCAAAAAGAAGAGTGAGAGAGAAGATCTTATTCAGTATTTAAAACGGGCAACATCCTCATGAAATACTGTTGCAGCTTCAAAAATATTAGTTCTCAATTTCAAATACTGTGTTTAATAAGAAGCAATTTCTGCTCTTTCTTGATAAGCCTGTAGTAATTTTAACACATTAAAATAAAGGTTGATATTTTTGATTGTGTAAAGTCCACTCATGAGATACCCTGACAAGCCTGCATGTGCTTTGATCTATGCTCTAAGGCGGTGTCAGATCATCCCTTTACTGGTTTCTGCATGCACAGAACATTGTATTAGCCTGGACACTACTGTTGAGGATGGAGATAGTGTCCAAGTGATTCTCTGCAGTTCAACTGTAGACATAGCAGACACCTGTCTTAGTTTTCATGAAGCTGTGTTTGCTTACTACTTAAAGTAACTTGAAGGGGGGGTAAGTAGGTAAAATCCAGTCAAACTTTGGGAATGCTTTTGGAGAGAGAGGGAGAGAGAGAGAGAGACAGACAGAGAGAGAGAGAGAGAGAGAGAGAGAGAGAGAGAGAGAGAGAGAGAGAGAACAAATTATTGATTTGAGTCTGGGTGAATATGGCCTACTTTGATAAGCACATCTTGTAAGTGTTTTTGCATTTGTATCTTTAAGATCTCGTCCTGATAAGAAATACGACGAAGCTCACTTGGGATCTTTTGAGGGAAAAGGCCCCAAACAACCCTGAAAAAGGCAGAAAGAGCTCCATCTTAGAACAGTGAGAGTGAAGCGTGGCAGGGCAGGCTCACTGAAGCCAGTGGAGGGCACAGTGTAGTGAGGCCTCTGGGCTGTGTGCAGGACTGTCACCCAGATGATGGGTCCCGAGGAGGAGGGGACGGCTCCCATAGCAAAGAGGTGGGTAAAATAGCTAGGGGTCATTATGGGAAGGATAACATACCAGTTACCTCATTTACTCTTCACGTCACTGCCCCAGGACCTTGGGGGTGAACTTCATCTTCTACAATGGTACACAGAGTTTAGTTCAGGCTGCAGGCAAAACATTGAACTTCTACGGATAACTTTTGCCTTTATAATTGGTTGACTTATAGTATATACTGCTTCTGTGAGATGAATATAGTTGAAAAGGAGCAAATTCTCGAAGGCTCCCTTAAATTTGCTAAGTGCCCATGCTTATCCTTGAGTATTCCTGACAAGTGGGATGCCAGTGTCAGTACTGCGTGGAAATGTCTCTGGGAATCAAAAGTGGCTTCAGGCAAGGCTACCCTTGTTATTCTTTCCCTAAGGGAATTTTCTTCGAGAGCAGAGAGGGTCACAGGGTCTCTGAGAGTATGCTCAGAGCAGAGTAGGGTTTGCAAAGCTGTACATCAAATTAGACAGCACCTCCCATCCTCGTTTGCATGAGGCCCATCAGCTGTGAAACAGAACTTGAACTCGGTTCTTATTCATAACCTAGCCCAGAGTGACAGAGCCTGCTAGAAGGATTTGCTGGCACTGCTACAGGCCCACACTGCAGGGAGGGAGGAAGATGTCAGGACTGGAGTTAAAACACCTTTGCCTTAGGAGGAGTGGAAGTAGCTGTTATGAGGACAGATGATAAAAGGCATTTGGATAGAAATGAAGAATAGTTACTATTCAAGTGGATTTCGGCTTTAAAAATTGTTGGAATAGTAACATTGGGTATTATATTAAACTTTAGCCTTAGTAAGAGTAAAACAAGTCCCTCCTTATTTTTTTTGCTAGTGGCAATGTTTTATTCATTAGAAAGGTTGGAGGAAATGTTACAAATGAGCATGGTAATTAAAGTTGTGCACTGGGATAGACTTTATTATTGAGCCTGTCTATGAGATGCTTACATTTATTTTAGGATGGCTTTCTGTGAAACTGCTTCTGGCCACGCTGACGGCTTTTTTTCTGTGTCAGTTTAGGATACAATTGAGGCTCTCAGAATTCTTTGCATGGTTCCCAGTCAGGCTGGTGACAAGAGCTATTTGCTTGAGACTGGGAGGCAGCAGCTCACAACCCTGTATACAACCTATGCTTGTCACACATGGATGGCTCTCATGTTTGGTGGACAGCAATCCTTCCAACTCCTGCTGGCCCCTCCCTTCTGCCTCCTGTGAGCCCTAGAGCAGGTGTGTGCTGCTTTGCCGATGGGCCTGGCTTAGCTAGGTCACCCACATCACAGGTGGATAGATGCATGACTAGATAGCAGAGTACCAGTTTGCTCTCTTGGGATTATCGTTGCTCTCAATGCCTTTTCTTTATCCATCTGCCCTGAGAACTGACCCCTAATGTCTAGATGCACAGCCAGTAACAAATACTCTAATGGGACCGAACTCCAGGCCAGGAGCTCTAAGTCCCCTTCTTGACTAGGCTCTCTGTCTTGGCCTCTCTCCTTAGCTATTTGTAGTATGAATTCCACTTAATCAGTTTAACAGATTCACACCCTTGGTACCTGATCACCTCAATCTGCCTTCAGCTAGAACCTTGTCGAGTTTATTTATCTAGAATTCCCTTTACCTTTGGCATTTCTTTCCTCTTACTGCTTTCCACTGCTGACCTCTCACCTTACTCCCGGGCTGTAAGTCTTTGGTATTCATTGTTGAGCTGAATTTTTCTCCAGCACCAAAACACCCTGTTGCAGTTGTCCCTTAAATCAGCATCATTTTATTTATTTTTACTGCCTTTAACAGTGACAGAATAATGTTTTCCTTGATACCAGCATCCTTGTTTAGTCTTCTCAAACTCCTCTTTGCAGCCGCAGTGACTGTTGTTATTCTTTAACCACCTACATTTTGTGTGGTTTCATTTCTAATGAATCTCTTGCTCGTAGTACTCTCATGATCTTGCTCCCTAGGCAAAGACTGTGGATACAGGCACCACCACTGTACAACACAATTTGTGAGCAACAGGAACCTCGGGTATATATGGAATGTCCTTCAACCTGAATTAAGTGTGCCTTGATAGTGCAAGAGGAGAAAATAAATTATTAGTATTGAAAATGGTCAAGCACGTTAATATCTCCTAAACTTAGATTAGATATTCAAAGGAAGAACATTTACGGTAGCGAGAAAACATTTTATGATGATGAAATTTGGAAAAGCAAGTACTATAGCACCACTTCCAAGAACAGAAGATTAGTGATCAGAAAAAGTAATGTTGATGTTGTATCAATAGAAAAAACATTTAGGAGAACTGAGAAGTCAGATGATTGGATTAAAAACTATCACCTTTAGTACTATCCATTTTAATATCCAATCTTAATGGAGCTCTAAAAGAATAATAATGTACCAGTTTACATAAATGTGAAATCTTTTCACATGACAGCTTTGTGCCTCAGAGAAGGAGGAGAAAGAATCCTTTACCAAATAGTGGGACATTGTCAGATCTTCCAGTCCTCATATTTATTACACTGGGTCAAGTACTTCCCAGACATAAAGCTTGCATTCATGTGGGAAGCAACATAACATTTGCTTTTCAAGAAGAGTAATTGGTTAATTGAACCCTTGTGTGCCATAAGATCACTGTGTATAATATAGCACATATGCTGTGTATAATACACTGTTGATAACACACTGAATATATGCCCAAATCATTCAGAAAGTTTGCTCCTTTGCTTAATTCTCCCTCTTCATCTCCTCTTAAAATAGCACAGGTAGGAATTCTCAGGATTTCCCACCTGATGATCCTTATTATCCACATGTGAGTTTGAAACCTCAGTGTCACACAATTATTCTGCTTTAATTCCTTACTATGCACTCACAGCAACCTCATTTGGGCACAGAAGTAAAGCTCTTTCCAAACTAAACTGCTTCCTGCTGTTTGGGAGCACTTTCCATCCCATGGGGATCCTGAGAAAACAAGGAAACCTGGGCAAATTCTGTCTTTAGTGGTCTGTGAGACTGCATGGTCTCACTCAGCTGTTTTGGATGTTGGATCACCTGGGCCATTGCTTTAGGGGGTCTTGACTGATCAAACCATATTAGTCTGGAAGGAATCCACAGCTTTCCATCTTCTGTGGAAACAAAAGCAGAACCTCTTTTCCAAAATAACATGTCCTTAGGCTTATATTTTGAAGTCAAGGCATTTTCAAAAGTATTAATCCACCTGCAGTTATAATCAAATGTCTTTTGGCAGCTGTTGCTTCTTCCTCAGCAATAAAAAAAAAAATATAAAGACAACACAATGACATACAGTATCCAGACTCTTTGTGTATTTTCCATTTTTATGTGGCTTTTTACAATTACTCAACTTCTTTTCTTTTTCTTTTTTGAGACAGGGTTTCTCTGTTTTGCTTTGGAGCCTGTAGACCAGGCTGGCCTTAAAATCACAGACATCTGCCTGCCTCTGCATCCCAAGCGCTGGGATTAAAGGCCTGCACCACCACCACCCAGCTTTACTCTATTTCTTTTAAGGACTTTCTCTATCCTTTTTCTTTTCTATTCCAAGCTGTAAACTGTAAACTGTTTAGAGTTTTTTTCCCCTCTGAACATATCTTTATGGTATATTTCTGTCTTTTTATTCTGCTAAACTGCATGGCTAGGATTAAAGGGGAGGTTTTAGCTGCTGGGTCTACCCAGTTAGGCTTTCCAGCTTGGGGAGTATGTTTACCACCAGCTCTGGGAGCTGTGCTCACCGCCTCAACATTGGTCTATGCTGCCATCAAGCAGCTGCCATCAAGCAGCTTGTAGAACACTGCCCATAAACCTTGTTTATCTGTATAAGATATATATATATATATATATATATATATATATATATATATATATATATTATTCAGCATGCTGTATGGCTTGGTACAGCCTCTGTGTACAGAGGTGGGAATTGGCCATGTTGTGCTCTAGCCTGAATGCCATAGTGTCTCTGCACTATGGTCTGCATGAGACTCAGAAGCCCAGTGTGGCTCATTTCTGTGCTTTCAGAATGCTTTTTAAGCTTTTTGTCAGGTTTTATGTGGAAATTCTTGCTGAACATTTGGGCGTCAATAAAACTGGTTGTGATGGTTTATGTCTGTAATCCTAACACCTGATAGGCTGAAGCAGGAGGATATGGAGTTCCAGGCCAGCCTGGGCTACATAGTAAGAAGTTGTCCCAAGAAACTAAGAACAAACCAAAAAACAACAACTACAACAAACCACTAAACAAAAGACAAAGACAG